ATGTGACATTTAATTGATGACAAAAACCAAAAGTTTTTAAACAGTATATTCCTTTAGTTATCCATCTTGCACGATGGTAAGCCCCAGGAATGCGAATACTTGTTGTATCATTATTTTCTCCTAAAAGGAGAAGAGCTAGTTGCCCAAACTCTTTATAATCATCACGTGGTTGAGTGTCCTTTGATTTTTTTTTTCAACTTTCTAACACATTGGATTTTCCAGATGCAAACCACTCTTTTTCAAGCTTTGTAAGGCATCCAGTTCCGCTTGTATCACTTTTCAAGTAGTTCAAACTCTGATTTTTCTATTAACTCATATTGGGACTTCACTTTACCAAAAAGTTCAATGTTTGATCCTTTTGATACAAAAAACGTTTCAAACACTGCATTTGCACAGATTTCAAGAATATGATGTCGACAAGCTAAAAACAAAACTCTTCCGTTCATTGACTTCTGTATGACAGTTATTGCCCCATTATAACTTCCTGTATTACTTGCAGTCGTGTCAAAGCAAAGACCTGCAAGATACTCCTCGATGCCAGGCCATTCATGAATGAACTAGTAATTTCTCAATATCTAAGTCAGATACAACATTTGGCAGACATTCGCGTCTGGTTCTATCAACATTTGATAACATTTTATCATCAAAATGAGCAACTAGCGGAACCAAGGGTTGAAAATCTTTTCTTACTGCTGTTGAAAGAGATTCGCGAGATGTAGTTCGAGCTTCTATTAGAGTGAAACGTGATAATGTTAATTTATTTACATCAATACCGATTGCAGCTAGGGCTGGTGTGACAACCATGATTGCTTGTTGTGGTGTTATTTTTTTTTGGTCTAATGCTGCATGAAAGAGTTAATTGTCAAGAATACAATTTTTGGATACTGTTATTGAGAGTTGACTAGTGCCCATAGTAGAATGTTTTTAAATTTTTTGACGATTAAAAATTTTTTGTTTTTGAATTGATGCATCACAGTCAGAATTTTCATCTAAAGAGTAATCTAAATTGTCATCCATTAATGTTTCTGTAGATTTAACTTTACTTTCTTTATGTTGTTCATAGCGTTTTTTTTCTTCAAGCTTGCATTTTCTGTATTTTACAACTGCTTTCTTATACATTAAGTCTTCTGATGTCATTAACATCTTTCTGGAACCTCTCTGGTCTATCAGAAATTGTTTGTATTCATTTATCTTGATGAGACAATCCCATTCACTATGGGCAATATCAAAAAGTGTAGACATCTTGGTGGTGAATTTTTCTTCATAGCTGCGTTGAATAGCTGATTTTCTATTTCTGTGCTTAGACACTTGAACATGTTGCTTGTGAATACTCTTTAGTTTAGCAACTACATAAGGCTTTGCTATAGTTGGAATATTAGCCTTAAGCCAGAAAATCATAACCTCGTGCAACTGTGTTGCAGGATATTGAAAGAGTTGACTTTTTGACTATCAATTCATAAAAAATTCTACATAGTGCAACACCACTTGTTGGCAACTGACTCTATTGTGGAGAGAATATATCCAACTAGCCAAACATTTGTAGTTGAGCGTGTTGCTTTGTTTGAAGCAGCCATCTTCTTATGTAATGTTTTTATGCTTTTTTACTGTAATAGAAAGAATATAACAGAAATTTATTAATTATAAAGTGCTCAAAGCATAATATAAAAATTAAGAGTCTTAGATAATACACCCGCCCCCCCCCTCCCCCCCCCGCCCCCGCCCCATTCATTCCTAACCCTTTCCCACCCAACAATGGCCAACCATATCATTACTATTATTAAATTTATACAAATTTAATTTCTGAGCTAAAGTTTACTTAGAAAAAGTTTAATTGAAATTATAGCAAATAAAATGTATTTGAAATCAAAATAGTCATTTAGGAGCGATTTTGGTACTTTCCAGTCTTCTGTGAACTATCTATGTTGTAACATGATAATACTTTATATTATTTGTTTTTAGATCAATTTATAGCAGTGTTTTCAATGAAATAAAAATAGAATTACAAGAATAAGTTTTTAGACAAATTTTGGTCAATTTAGGGTTCCAAAATAGGGTTTGGGGGACCATTTCCCATTTTCGGTTTGCAAAAATTTTTTAACTATATACTTTTTATAACAGACCTCACCAAATAAGAGGTTGTGCGATTTAAAATTTGAAAAAAAATTTTTTTCTATATAAAAAACCACCCTAATATATATATATATATATATATATATATATATATATATATATATATATTAGTAAAAGCATCTAATTTTTAGTTGACTTTAACAGCATGATGTTTCACTATCAGTAGGTTTATCAGGAAGATGAACCTACTGATGACCATTTCTGATGAACCTATTGATGGTGAAACATGCTGTTGAAGACAACTAAAAATTAGATAAGTGTTTTTACTAATTTATTATTGCTCTGTTCTTTAAGAACATTGAGCAGTCTATTTATAAAATACACTAACATAATTTTTATATATACAGTGGATGGCCAAATTATTAGGTACACTTAAATTTTTTATTAATTTTAAAGTTTAAATTACTTTAATGAATTAATGCATATCTTGTAGTTAGTTTTTTATTGTTAGAGAGCTCTTTTTAGAATATAAAATAACATAATTACTTACTCATAGCTATTTTAAACAAAAAAAAAAGTTAAAACATAACAAATAAGGTAATAGTCTTAATATTTTGTAATGCCAACCCTTTGCTACAATAACAGTCTACAGGCGTTGGGGTATGCTTTCTATGCAGTTTTTTGCATTGTGTTGGAGACTGGGGTTGTTATGCTGCTCTTTTATAAGAGTCTCACTGCTGCTTGGAGCGATGATTTTATTGGAATTTCCCGTTTTGTGAACTCCCATAGATTTTTATGGGGTTCATATCAGTTGAATGACCCAGCCAAGGCAAAACATGCACAAACTGTTTAGTTAGTAATGCTGTAGCATTAGTCTTATGGCATGCTGCTGAGTCATGTATGATCATATAATCTTCATTACAAGAAAACCATTCTTGGACCTCAGGCAAGAGCCTGTTTTCCAGTACTTGCTTGTACTAGTTCTGCCTCATTGTCCCTTCCACAATGTAGAGGCAGCCCATACCCATGGCTGAGGTCACAGACCACACCATAACACTCTTAAAATTTTTAATCTTTTCCAAAAGGTGGAATTTTTCTCGAATTTTTCTGATGGGTAGCGTCAAACAAATAAGCTTTTATCTATCAAAATTTGAAATGTTTACTCAATTGAACTGAACATTACAAAGTTATTTTAAATTATAAAACTTTAGTTTTTCTGTTTTTTTTTTACAATATTATAAGTTATATTTACTCTACTCCAGTCTTCAATAGTTATAATTTGGTGTTTTCTAGCCCCTTTTTTTATGGCTTCATTTAAATGTGGTTTTTTGGTTGGACGACAACCCATTAAATTATCTTCAGCAAACCTTCTCTGGACCACTCTTTTGGAGACAATAATTCCTTTATTGTTTATTATTGTAGCTAGTTGAACCTTCTTTTTTTTTTTCCTGTTTTAAAGACAATTGTTCCTAATTTTATGATCACAACATGAAGTAGTGATCTTTTTTCTGCCACTTTAGCTGATATGGTCTGGTTCTAGAGGTACATTTTTCTTTTAATTCAGTTCACTACTGACTTTGAAACACTTGCAATCGCTGCTATCTCTCTCTTAGAATGCGTAGAATAAAGAAGTAAGGCTTTTTCTTCCTAACATTTTCTTCAAGTCTAAAAACTTGTCCAGATACAAGTCAGGATTTCTGGACTAAAATTAGCAAAAATAATGAATTACTAACCATAAGTAATTGAATTTTTGACCAATACTTTGGTTTTAATAGTCCAGAAATAAAAAAACTTGCAAAAAATTATTTCAAAAATAAAGTAATTGAAATCAGTTTAAAACTTACTCCAACCACACTTTTTAACAATAGGCAGTTAATTGAGTAATATCCTAACTTTTTAACAAATAAGGTGGACTGACAGTATTGCCACAATTTAAAAACAATAATAATGATATCAGTAACAAAAATGCTCACAAAAAATGATTTAAAAACAATTTGTTTGCTTTCAAAATTCATTTTAACTTTATTTTAACTTTATGTATATATATATATATATATATATATATATATATATATATATATATATATATATATATATATATATATATATATATATATATATATATATATATACATACATACATACACACACACACACACACATATATATATATATATATATATATATATATATATATATATATATATATATATATATATATATATATATATATATATATATATATATATATATATATGTATATGTGTATATATATATATATATATATATATATATATATATATATATATATATATATATATATATATATATATATATATATATATATATATATATATATATATATATATATATATATATATGTATGTATATATATATATATATGTATATGTACATATACATATGTATGAATATATACATATATATGTATATATATATATATGTATATGTATATATATACAGGCCTCGGCGGGAATAAATGAGCACAAGAGCGGAGAAAAGCTTTCCTAAAACAAACTTGAGGAGCTGCGCGAACTGCTCCTCATTTTAATTGGCGCTCTTTTTAAATTTAAATTTTTTTTTGCAACAACCGTGCTTTTTAAAAAGCATTGCAGTATATTATGCAATTAACTTTTTTTTAAATGACATTGTGTTTTTTATTTTAAATTGCTCCCGTAAACTGTTCTCCCATTTTTTATCATAAATTGCTCCCGTAAACTGTTTTAGGGGAGTGGGGGGGGGGAAGGAAGCGAGAGATAAAGCTCTTGTCTCCTGCTGAGGCCTATATATATATATATATATACATATATATATATATATATATATATATATATATATATATATATATATATATATATATATATATATATATATATATATATATATATATATATATATATATGTTTGTTTAGAGTGAGTTAAAGCATGCACCAATTGGAAGTTATTTTAAAAAGGTATGTAGTGAAAAATAACACTTATTATGAGCACCTGTAATTCTCATAATACAAAGTGCTTGGTTTTTAATTAAGAAGTACTAGTTGATAAAAAGTTGTAACAACAATTTCAAAAAATGAGTGTCCTTATTGAATGTAGTGTACAGAGATAATTCTAAAAATATAATAAGTGAGTAGGGGGGGGGGGAGGTGAATCCTTAAAAAGTACCAACTGGCTTCTAAAAAAAAAAGCTGCTTGAAAGTAGAATTTACCCGACTGAATTGTTTCAAATACCCGACTAGCCAACTAAGTTCGTAAAAAAAACTGACTATAACTTGAAAATCACCTACTTTAGGGGGGTTGAACATCCCTTATACACCCCCATAAAATCGCCTCTGGTAGTGTAGCCTTCTTAGCCACTACAGCCATATTATATTTGATTAGATAGATAAATTTAAACCAACAAATTATAAATTAACATTTATAGAAAAATATAATATTATTGAAAAAATTTTGAATTTTCAATGTTTAATAAATCTTTAATACATAAACAATTAAAGTCTAAAATTACTAATTAATAGTTACCATAATAATATTAACGATGAAACCAATAATAATTATACTAATAGTTCAAATTTGATTCTAACTAATAAGTTGTGTTATTTTGCTCAACATCACTTCAGATGAACTCTTATGATTTAGAGAACATTTTAATGTTTACCGAACTTTTAGTTTGCATAGATGCATATTGTTTTCAAAATAAAATGTTTTACTCCCTCCATTTCTCAATAGTTGTCAAATTTGCATACTTTTGGTTCTATTATTAAAAATTTATGCTATTCTTGTAATATTTTTATAAATTTGTTAAATTAGTGCTGACTTTATTTTCTAAAAGTACAAAATTATTTTCTAAATGTACAAAATTAAGATAAAAAAATTTAATTTAAAGAAATAAAGTACTACTCACAACAATTTACTTTTATTTTTGTTCCACATTACTTGTCACCATTCCACATTACTTGTCACCATTTCTCAATACTTGTCACCATTCCTCATTACTTGTCATTGAATATTTTTCATGTGTGCTGTTTAAAGTTAAAATTTGTGTTTAATGTTAAGATCAGCTAAAAAAAAGCAGAAAATAATCCCTTTTATGTTAATTTTTTATGGTTGTAAACTCATTTTTACTAAAAATAGATGATAATTGGACACACAAGAAAGTCAATAAAAATCAGTGTGAGAGTATTCTTCAATTTTTATTAATGCATTACAAAAATAACAAACTCAATCATGGGGCTATAAATGAAGCAGCAGTATACTTTAAGGTGCATCGTAGAACAATATCTTGTTTGTGGAAGTGAGCACAGCAGTCTAAGAAAAATAGAAATGAAGTTTTCAACGTGAAATCCAGAAAGCGTGGGCGTTGGGGACCATAAAAGAAAGACTTTTCTCAACAATTAAGAAAAATTAATTATTCCTTTAAATCAAAGAAAAACACTAGGATGCTTAAAAAATGCAATGAATGTACCGACAACAATATTGCATATTATTTCTAAATTTTAAAGAAATGTGTTTAAGTGTGTTTCATCTTCTATTAAACCAAGCTTAACTGACAAAAACAAAATCAGAAGAGCTCAGTTTTGTTAACAACATGTTCAACTTAATGGGTTTTTTCCTGAAATAATTAGGTTTGAAATTTTCCGGGAAAATTCCTCAAAATTTCTGGAAATTTACAAAAAAAATTTATTGCAATAAACAAAAACTTTTTTTTAAATTCATTTCTTTGTTTCAAAAATATGTGTTTTATCATTGTAGTATTTGGGTATTCTTTAAATATTTGAATCAAACATATAAAATAATAAAGACTCACAAGCAAAAAATACACATCTTTTAATCAAATTTTTATAATCAAGTTTATCAATTTAAGAATTGAGCATTTTTTTTTGGTTCCCCAAGAAGTCCTTACAGTCTTATCACAGAGCGCCGTGGATAATCATTTAATTCATGCCTTACTTCTAACCGATGTTGCAAAACTTGCCCAGAGTTGGGGTATGAACCACAGATCCTTTGTTTCTGAGGCAAGTGCGCTACCACTGCGTTACAGCTGCTCAAAAAGTTACTGTGGTACAATTTAAACCACAGTGTTTTGCTAAAGAAACTCTGTGAGTAAACCACTTGGTCACACAGGCGTGTGGCCGAGCATTTTTTTAAAAAAGCAATAAAACGTTCAAGTTGTTATCTATTACTTTTATGTATGTTACTTTTGTGGAACAATGAAAAGTAGATGTTTTCCAAGTCTTTAGAGCTTTGTATAACATATTCCTAGCTTTTACTTCTCTCAACTATGATATCCACAAAATACAAAAAATAAAATCTTTTTTAGAATAATAAGTTTTATTGTGTATTATTTTTGTAGAGCGTTTTGAAGAAAAACAAAGATTTTTTATGTGTAAAGATTGCATATAAGATTTTAAAAAAGATAGGAAGATTTTTATGTATAAGGATTTTAATAAGAGGTTATAAATGCATTAGCTATGTTCGATTATAATAACTTATCTAAAAATGATATAAGAAAACACATTTGATCTGAATATTCAGTAAAATAATAATAAATTAATTTGCTTGGTAATCGCCACTTGGTAGTATTGGTTGAAAAATGTGGTATAAATTTAAACTATTTTAAAGTTTAGCATAATTTTTTAATTAATTGATTTATAAAGTCAAAAGTGCTCTAGCAAATTTGAGGCAAGTGAGATGTCTTATAAACACTAGTTTAAACTTAGCGGTGGAATTTATGACCTTAAAATCAATAGTTCTTTATTTTTATTGCTAACTGTTTTTTTAAATAGTTCAAATTTAGCAAATATTTTTTTTTTCTTACTTTTTGTCTTCCATTAATCAATAACGTCGTTAAATCAAGAACAAACTGTAAAATACTGTAAATATTTAATAAAATCTATTTATAAACAATTTTATAGTTTTCAGTAACTTGTAGGCCAATTTAATAGACATTAAAAAATGCCCCTCCTTCTTTAGGAATGAGGGAACAAATAATGTTTAGCCTTTAGCAAAGCTTGCTATGGACAAAAAATTTTAAAAATTTTAGAAAATTTTTAAAAAATTTTTGTCCTACAGGGCAACATAAGTATTGTCCTACAACTGCAGGTAAACTTAAGTAAAAAAAGTTTCTAAACAAACACAGCGAAATTTATTTGCAATAAACATTTAAATATTTCTAGAAATTTTGGAATGTTGTGGTGCAAAAATAGTTGCTCTTTAGTTTTGGGCAACAACATGGCTCTTTTTTCATCAAAAATGTTACCTGCTTCTGAGAAAAGTCTCTCTAAATAGACAGATGAAGCAGGGGCAGATGAAAGTTTTCTTGCTAATCAGTATATATTAGGATAGTAATCCTTATTATCGCTCCACCAAATCCTTTTCCCTGATGAACAAAATGTTTTGCTCATCAGGGAAAAGAGACAGTTTATACCTTGGATCAACAGCTGTAGACAAAACATTTACTTTACTCATAAGTACATTAAAGTGGCCTTTTAATGAAACATTACTCATGAATCTTTTTTCAATAGACTCTCTTAGCATTATTTTCATTGGTTGGACTTTAGAATCATCTGTAAGGTTTCCGAGAAAGTTATGTAATACAAAAATATGGCTAATTACTGATGACAAAATTGATTTTGATTTACTAATGGTATCAGTAATCATAAAAAATGGTTGTAAAAGTCCAATACATTTTCAATTAACTCCCATTCACTTGAACTTAGTATTAAATTTAATAAATGAGAGTGGTCTGCTGTATAAAGTTGTATAGATTTTTTGAGAATCTCAATTCGATCCAACATTAAATATTTGTACTGTTCCATCTTGTTGGAACATCTTGGATTAATAATAAAGGTGTTGCGAATTTGGAATATAATTCTTTCTGCATTTTTTAAATTTGGTGTAAGCCGAACCTGAATGGTTAAAATGAGTACAAATGCTTCTCCATTTCTTTATCATGTCATATACTGCAACCTGATCAAAAAGGGCATCTTTGATAACTAGCTGCAGCTGATGAATAAAACATGAGATGCATAGGGATTCCATCAAGTCAATTCCAAGTTGCATGTTGTAAGCACTGTCATAAAGGACTATATTTATTTTCTTTTTAAAAATATCCCAATCAACTAGCATCACATCAAACAAATTTGAAATATTTATTGAAGTGTGGGACCTTGGAAAATTCTTACAGTGTAGCACACAATTCTTTCTAATAAAATTTTATGTGATCAAATGCATAGTCAATTATATGAAAGCATCATTACTAGGGGTATTTGTCCAAATGTCTGTTGTTAATGAAATATAATTAGCTGCAGAAATGTCATTAAATACTACAGTTTTAAATTATTCATATGATAATGGTAGCATTGTTTCCTTAAAAAACTTTCTACTTGGAATGGGGTACTGTGGTTGTAAGTGAGCAACCAATTCAATGAACCCCTAATCTTCAACTACAAAAAAAGGTTGATTGTCCATTGCAATAAAATGTATTATTTTTTGATTAATTTTGGAGGTGCGCATGTTCCAAATCTTTTTATAAACAAAATCATTTATGCTAGTTTGTGTCTGCAATTTTATTGCTTCTAATTTTCTTTCTTATGGTGTTTAGCTTTTGATTTTTTTCCCTTTTCTTTCAAGATTTTTGAGGAATATAGTCAGCTAGTTGGGTATTCGACACATTTCAGTCATGTGAATTTTAGTTTTAAAGACCTTTTTTTTTTAAAAAAAGAATTGGAATTTTTAAAGATTCACCTCCCTCATTTTATTCGTAGAATTGCCACTGATTATAAGTTATGAACATATATCAGCCCTATAACAAGCTTTCACTTTTATCTTAAAATTAAAAAAAAATCCAGCTGGAATTCCAACTGGATTTTTTTTGACAAATCCAGAGAATTTCTTTCCAGCCAGAATTTTAAATTTCCATTTTGGTACACCCCTACAAAATACCGAAAAAAGTGTTTTTCAAAGAGGGCTTTATAAAATTTTTATAAATATTTTTTTCACGATTTTTTACCATGATATTGTCCATAAAAACTGCCTAAATAAGACATAAAATTTTTCTTTTTTTGAAAATTTTTAATATTTTTTGAAAATTTCCCGAGTTGAAAATTTATGACAAATTTTCATCCCTAGGAATGATGAATGTTATTCATATAGATGAAAAATAGTTTTATATCACAGAAATATCAAAAAAAATTTAATGTTTTTTAAGATAAGTAAGAACCCTATAGACAATTTAAAAGTAAAAGATTTATCACTAAAGTAATGTTTATGACAGATTTGGCAAGACCAAGATGGGATTTATCTAAAAACAAATATTTGGATGGAAAAATTTCTGGTCATTCACTTTCAAAAATGTTAAATATCATAAGGAACTCTAAAAATTGTTTAAAGGCTATTTCAGTAACAAAAGCTATGGAAAAGATGGGTAAAGAAGAAATTTGAAATATGATGATTAAAAATGTTTTACCAGCTATATGCAAAAAATTTCCAAAAAGTTAAAAAATCATGTACTGTTAACATTCAGCAAGACAATGCCAAGCCTCATTTAACAAATAATGATTCTGCTTCACCAAAAGAGCTAATAAAAGTAGGTTAGAGTCTGAAAATGAAATCTCAACCTCCAAATAGTCCAGACTTCAATATTTTGGATCTTTGGTTTTTTAATTCAATACAAGGATTTCAACAGATAGTCACTAAAAATATTGATAATTTAATTAGTACAGTAGAAACAGCTTTCCAACAATTGGATTAGTACATATTTGATAGTGTATTTTTAACACTACCAGAAGCTATTCTAGACTGTTTTTGACAGCATCAACAGTATTTGGGCGCCGGCCAAATTCAAAATTAATGAGTTTTTTTTGTTTGATTTGTTTTTACAACAAATATTGATTTTTCGTAAAAAAAATGCCTTTATTCTGCAATATTTCCGTTAATTTTTACCGGGACAGTGGGGGTTCTGCCGCCCAAATTTTTAAACCAGAATAGCCCCTAACTAGTTGGTTCAACAGATTTTTGACCATGTTTTACCTGTATGGACTTAGCAATGTTGCTAATATTTCTTTCTGTGAAGAAATAGTAGCATTTTGTGCTAATTTTTCATCAAGGTTCTTTCAAATTTTTCATCATTGCAAGGTTCTTTAACTTTCTTGCAGTTAGAATAAGTAGATTTTTTGTGTCTGTTTTTGTTATAACAAACTCTATTTTTGTTTAGTTGGAAAAAAAAGTTATCATTTGTCTTAAGTCTTCTTAAATGTGGTTTGATGCTTTTTAGCAACTAGACATATTAGACTTAAACAAAATCCTTCAAAAAATTTAAGGTTTTCATTTGAAAAAATCAACAGTCGGATAATGGTGTGTTTCCAAACTTGTCATTATTTTGTGAACATCTTATTGAAGGGTTTGATAAAAGAGTTAACAATAAGAATGAATGAACATTGAAATTTATCTACTATGTCAAGGTGTTCTGCTGAAAAATATTTAGCTGTTAGAATAAACTTGATGCAATTGTCAGTAGTGATCCATCAACTGTTGAATTTATGGCATCAAGAACTGGCAACAGAATCAATAATTAATCAGGCATTAATTAAGATAGATGAGGAAAACCTTGCAATGTTTCTGGCAGGAAACAAATTATACAAGCTAATTTCAGAAATTTATTACACTTTAAAACCAGAGCAAAAAGATTTGGATGTGATCCAATAGTTGAAGTTTCAAATCTGGCAAATGAGACACATGCAAAATGTATTGACTTCAGCTGCTTCATAAAGATGTTCTGGACAGTGGTTCTGGAAACATAATTAAGACTGAAGGTAAAATCTAAACTCTGAAATGCAGAAATGTTTTCTTTTATACATTAGAACTCTTTAGCAACACTTATTTAGATGTGGAACATAGTTTTTTGTGAAGAAGAGATATAGATTCAAACTGATTTATTAACTGTATATTGATTGTTAACCTTGTATATTGATTGTTAACTAAGGACTCTTAAGTTAACAATCGGTATACAAGGATTCTTAGGATAACAGTCAATATACAAGGATTCTTAGGTTAACAATCAATAAAAAGAGATTTTTAGGTTGACAATCAGTATACAAGGTTAACAATCAAGATACAAGGATTCTTATAAAAGTTATGTCTGAACTTATAGAACAATATATCAAATATTGTTTGGAAATCTCTACAATAGAGGGTTGAAATCATCTGCAAAACTATTCAGTTTGATGATGTTAAAAGTTGTGTATTTTAGTTCAAACTAAAAATTTTTATTGCAATAAGTGATGTAATAATATGAAATACAAATGTTATTATTATTTTTTTTTTTTTTTTTTTATTTTTTGTGTGTTTTATTTTGTTTATGATTGCTTTCTTAATACAGCCAGGCTACAGGAGGCTGAATGATTAATTATATAGACTTTATTTTATAATTTTTCCAAAAAACTGTTTCCAAGAAACGTTTCATATAAAATCACCTAAAAGACTTGTGAGTACTATCTCAGGTTTGCTTCAAATTTTGACTATCTTTAAATTTAATGTAAAAAACACAACCATAATCTGTTCAAAAGTTATTATTGAGGCACTATTAACTTAGGTTAGCAAAGTTGTATATAAAGCTTACAGTTGATTATTATTTGATTTTTTATTGACACCAGTTTTGTATAACAATAGATTTTTTTCTAAAAAATATGTTTTTATAATTGTTTTTCTTTGATTTTAAACAATTTCTGAGTTATTTTCTCAGAAAAATTCTTTCTGAAGATTGTTATATATATATATATATATATATATATATATATATATATATATATATATATATATATATATATATATATATATATATATATATATATATATATATATATATATAACAATCATCAGAAAGAATAGGTCAAAAAGTTCATATGAAGCACAAGTACAGTCGTCTATTTTATTTCTGAATTTCATAACATGGTGTGTTATAATAATTATCAGCAAAATTATAGTCACAATTATTAAAATCACCTCTCCAAGGTTACGAAAGAAAACACTAAAGTCAAGGTGGCAACTCTCTAGACTCCAAAACACAAACCTTTTTTAAAAAAGTCACTGTGAAAGTGGTACTTCCAGAAGCATAGTTTGGATTTAAACCTCAATCTTCTTGGTTATAAGCCAAGCATTTTACTACTAGTCTGCTACTGCATGTACCTTCTCTACCCATAATGCATGAAGCACTTATTTGACATATTTCATTGTCAAACGGAAATCAACACTGATTTAGTTGTGCATCATTAGTCAATTCAAATTTATTTTTTTCTATGCATTAACTTTGTATTAACATCTTGGTTTTTATCAAAAATCATTAGCAAAAGCCTATGTGTTATTATTTGTTATCATAAAACCATGCAATGTATTTACCTTGTTGAAATTTTATTGGACTGTTTTTAACTATGTTTGCATTATTCAGCTTATCGCAGGAGGTATCAATAGGCATTCCTAATTCCTAAAGACAATTTTTCTCTCTCTGGTGTAAAACAGTGATAATCTCTTATGCCTAAAACTGTAAGCTTTTTTATTGTTCCTAGAGATTAAAGTAAGTTTTATTTCTATTGATTTTGTCACTTGAAAAATGAAATTTGTTTAATGTAAATAAAATTATAATTTAAAATGTGTAATGGTTTGTGAGAATCTGATTTGGAATTCCTGTTCACTATTTTTTTGCTGTCTATCTTTTTTCCCTCCTATTTGATTGCATAGTTTTCCCATGGAATTTAGCAAAGAAGTGATGCTTACCTTTACCTTCAATACCAAATAAGAGGTCTATCCATTAAGATACTCAAATTTGAGGAATTTGATTATCTTTGACTCTATCATAACTTTTGATCAATCAAATTCAAATTTTCATAGTTGTATTTTTTATACATTGAATTTGCAGATGTTTTAAATTAAAGTAAATCTGAGGTGGTACCCCTGGGCACTTTTGAAAAATTGAGATAAGTTCATATGGAATTTTTAATTACATTTTTATTAAATTGTTGTTGTTGTTGTTGTTTCTTAGGTAAATGATATTGACAAACAGAAATGTGATTCATTTAATAAAACTCTGGATCTTGAGAAGACAAGTAGAGCTTCCAATCCGACAAATAATGAACAAAAAAAAAGTCTTGATAAAGTATCAAAAAAGCAAGAAGCAGAAAGTTTAAACTTTTCAGTAATTAAACCAATTGACTTAAATAAAAATGGATTTGAAATAAAATCTGTCAAACTAAAATTAAAGTCTAAAAACGGAACATCGTCTTCTGAAAAAGTAAGACCATTGCTTGATAGTAAATCAATTTCAGAAGAGTTACAAACACCTTTAAAAAAAGTAACACCACTGCTTGATTGTAAATCTTTTTTAGAAGATTCTCCAGTGCTATCAACTTTAGAAGATTTGCCAGCGCTATCAAAAAAAGTAGTACCCCTGATCATAACACCACTGACCGATTGCAATCCTATTACAAAAGGTTTGGACAAAAAGATTGTACTTTCAAAAGCAACTAAACGAACTAAAAATGAAAGTGACTTTTGTAGCAAACCTAAAAGAAAGACACAGGCTGAAATCCAGGTATTTGATCAGTGTAATCATTTTAAGAAAAACTTTTTTTTATTTGTAATTTTTGTTACCGATGACAACATAGACTTTTGAAACTGAATTTTTAAAATATTTTGATGATTATTTTTAGTTATTTCTTTATTAAATCCCATTAAATATTTGAATTTAATGTTTTAAAAGTTAGTTGCAAATTATCTGCAAATATGAATTTTGAAATACTTGCTTTGGATTAAATTACTTATAAGAAATTTATGATTCTCATAGTCACAATTTTTCAAACACAAATTGAAAATTTACAATATGAAAATTTAAAAAAAAACTGTGTGAAAAGAAAAAAAAAACATAAAAAAGACCAATTAAACCAGCTCAGAATTTTGTATACCATTGATACTAAATTTAGTTCACTCATTAGTTTTTGAAAGCTTTGGTTGCCTTGCACAAACTGCTATTTATTAGTGGTTTGGATGTTAGTACATGTCTAAATATTTAAAATACCTTGAAATGTGTAAATTAATTATAATCAGTATAAAAAGGTTTAAAAAACATGTGGAAATTAACTTGAAAATATTTGAAATAACAGACTTATCATGACCTGTATAATATGGCAAGGCTCAAATTAAGTGGTTGCGAATTGCAATATCTGGAAATGTTTCTGTTCTTTAAATTTTTAGTTTTTGAAAAGCTCTGTTTTTATAACTAATCTTAATATCTGTTATTCAAGAAAATATATTTAAATCTACGGATCTTAGGATCTAAGGTCCTTTTATGATCAAAAAGTTTTGTATGATTTAAAAATTATGATTTAAATTTTAATATTTTAATTATTTTGATAAATCGTGAGATAAAACTAGAAAAATAAAGCAAACAGTATGATGTAATATTAAAAAACAAACACAAATCATAACAGTCTATTGGAATTTAGCAGTGGTCAAATATTTAAAATTAAAAAAGTCGCAAAATAAGGTATAAAATATTTTCTTATTTAAATCTTCTTCAATATTTTCTTATAAATCAAATAAAAATGTCAAGTAAATGCTTGTGACTCTAACACGGATATGTATATAAATTTAAAGACGAAGGAGTTTAACAACATATAACTAACTACTTTTAGTTATTTTGAAACAAAACAAAAAAAAACTCTTATTTTCAAATATATCTTTTTGATTATTACTTTTATTATCAATTAAGTAGTTTCTTATTAAAAAAAAAAAAAAATTTTGAAATAAATAGTTCCTCAAAGTTTCCTCCTAAGCAAAGAGTGATTTTATTGTTTTATACAATGTGCAAGTGACTTCAGTATAATTTTTTATTAGTCAATTTTTAAATTATTTTTAGTAGGTAGTACAAAATAAAAGTTTTAAAAATCATTAAAATTTTAGTAAAATAAATGGTGACAAGCTTATTAATATTTTAAAATTTTTGTCTGAACTACTTTTTAGGTGTTTTAAATTTTTTTATTAATTACTATTTATTATTTTTTTATAATTATTTTTGTTTAATATACAGTCTAGATATGAAGTACTTTTATTATGGTAGTAAAAAAAAAAAGTTGTATTAAATGTATTATTTTTGTATTATATTATTTTTATTTATAACAAATGTATTATTAGTTGTATTATATTATTTTTATTTATAACAAAAATGTTCGAAAAGCTATATGTATGAACTGAAAATGTACAGCAAAGTTTACACTTATAGGAAAGGTTTTCTAACTTGATTCAAGATGATGATGATGATGATTTTCTGACTGGTTATGGGTATGATAATCTTAGACAGGATAACAAATTGACATCTATCAAAACCTTCTCAAAGCCTGGATTAGATGATAGCTCATTTGATCTTTTTGAACCAAATCATGCAAGTAGTGATATTTTAAAAACCCAATGTGTTACTAATGACAGGTATATAATGATTGGTATATAATACAGGTGTTTACAATAGGTATATGATGATTGGTATGCAGATTTAATACCAATGTCAATAAACTTTTTGTTTATTTTCTTCAACTCTAGCCAGCTAGTATCAGATGATTCCCTGCTTGAAATTGATGAAGCAGAATTAGTGGAAGATTTAACTGAACATAAAGTCATGTTGTTAAGAGTTAAAGAAGTTACTACAAGATTCTATGCTGCAAATAAATTTGATTCAAAGAAAGAAATTTTGATTATTGTTGAATCAACCAAAGGATCATATAGAGGTAGTTGTCATCTTCGAGAAGATTGGATTCAAACTGAAATTGAAATAAACGATTTAGTTTATGTGTCAGGTAATTTTTAATTTTTAAGCATTTGCATAGTATGGTGCTGTAACATTGATGTTGCTCATATGCATTATTATTGTTCAATGTTTAGAACTGGCTGTGTTTAGCTTCTTTCTGCTTTTTATGTCTTCTAATACTAGTTTCTCAGTAACATCAGTATAAGTTGCCGAGCTTGTTGCTAATTCTCTTGTTTTGGGTTAAATTGAAATAAGTTACAGCATTAAAAACAAAAAGTTAAATTAAAAGAACAAAGAAAATATTAAAAGTAAGTTTTTTAAGTCATTAATCATAGCAATGTTGCTATATTTTAAGCCATTAATCATTAAGCCATTAAGCCAATGTTGCTATATTTTAAGCCATTAATCATTAAGCCATTAAGCCAATGTTGCTATATTTTAAGCCATTAATCATTAAGCCATTAAGCCAATGTTGCTATATTTTAAGCCATTAATCATAGCAATGTTGCTATATTTAATATAAACATAGCAATATTGCTATATTTATTTAGTGTATTACAATACCTGTTTTTTAAAAATGTTTTAACAACAGCAACAACAATAAAATATTTTTTTTCTATTAATAATCATTACAATAACTTGAAATAATTTTGAGAAATTAGTAATAAAATAGTAATGATAAAAATAATAATAACAGTAATGATGATAATAGTTTAAAGTTTTAAAAGAGCCATTTAAAAATCTCTAGAAATTAGTTGACATTAAAAATTTAATAGTACTCTTAGCAGTACAATGACTTCTAACAGCTCTGATAGAAAAATGGCTTCAACAATTAGGAGCTGAAATATTTTTGTCAATATTATTATTATAAATTAATGATAATGTAAATATGTAACTTTGTCAGCTTGATTTTTATAATTATATGTATTTGAAATGATCTTTAAGTAATAATAAAAATAACAACAATAAAAATAAGTAATAATAAATATAATTGTAATAACCTCTACAATTGCAATAATAATAATAGATTATAATAATTAAAATAATAATGATACAATAATGACTATAATAATTACAAGCATAGTAACAATTTATAATATTTTACTCTCAACTAGACTGCAAGCAACCACTGTTTAAGTTGGGAGCTAACAGAAACAAAGAGTATTTTTAAAGAGCAAAATTTAGTTGGCAGAATACTTGAAAAGCTGTGAATTTTTTGAGTTGAGAAAATATAAAAATGGGATAGAGTTCCAAAGCTTTGATGTGTATAGGAAAAAACAAAATATTTATAAACAAATGTTTTTAGAGAATTAAGGAATAGATAATGCAAAAGAGTGTATTTGTTTCAGCTGTAAATAACTGAATTTCGTTTGTGTTAAAGTTTACCAGTTACTGCAAGCCCCAAACTGTCACACATTAAAGATCATATTCAAGATAGACTGCCTATCCTAAACAATCACAATTTGATGACTTATTTGTGAAGACTTCAGTGAATAATTGTACAATTAGCAAATAAAGCTACTATTAAGCTTATCATAAAGATTATTAGGCAAGAAATAACCCAAAACTAATGATAGAATCTATTGTATGAGAGATGGAATGTTAGATTTTGATTTTTAAACAACACTATTAAAGATATTTCAAAAGTTTCTAGTACCCAATTTCAGAGATAAAATACAAGATTTAATATTCTGAGAATATTGGGCCATAGCATCAGACCCTTTTTTATTCTTGTCACAATAAAAAGATGTTTATTCTCAAAAAATTGTTGTTGTGAAAAAGAAACGATTATAATTATAAAGAGCAGCTGCACAAAGAGAAAGAAGGTAGCAGCTGCACAAGAATGAGGAAGCCTCAAGACTAATGCAAAGGTGTCAACAGCTCCTTTTGTTTGTCTGAATCTAAGAGCTTATGTAGGGTATGCAATTTTTTTAGCATAGAAAAAAAGACATTCTTTTGGAGTGTGCTTGGTCAATTTTATAAGAAATAAAATTAAAAAGAGTCATGTGAAGATAAAGAATGATAAAGAACATAGGGGATTGAGTAAAAACTAAGTTGATGAAATATTTTCATCAACTTAGTTTTTCTAGATATCCAAAACATTTTCTATACATACAAGTTTAGGTGTATGTTTTTGTAATATATTTCTTTTTATACTTTTTCACTCATGCAAAAAGGAAGCCTCAAGACTAATGCAAAGGTGTCAACAGCTCCTTTTGTTTGTCTGAATCTAAGAGCTTATGTAGGGTATGCAATTTTTTAGCATAGAAAAAAAGACATTCTTTTGGAGTGTGCTTGGTCAATTTTATAAGAAATAAAATTAAAAAGAGTCATGTGAAGATAAAGAATGATAAAGAACATAGGGGATTGAGTAAAAAGGTACCAAATGAAAACTCATAAAAGAATAATCAAAAAGTGTAAGTCTGATTTTAAATTAAATATGTGAATTGATGAGTAAGTATATGCCCAGGCAAGACTGGACTGTGAGGATTGGATCTTTGCAAATCAATAGGTAAAACAGTCATAGATAATGGATGCCTAACATGGCATTGTTAATATGCTAATATTTTACATCTGTTAATTAAATTAGCATCAGAAATGCCTTACTACTAGCAAGCCTAATAGTTTCCTATAATCTGTGGTATTCATTATCCTTGTCAGGAAACAATTTATTACAGGTTCAAATCTTTGGTTAACAGAAATTTTCTGCTTTTTTTAAAGGAAGTTGTTGGATGCAGTTAACATCTTCCTGAGATGAGTATTTTTATCAGCATACTATCTCTAGCCGTTGTTTAATCAAGAACTCTTAGGAAGGAGGGTTGTTTAAGTCAGAGTTAACTTCTTCTGGTCTTTTCCTAAAATGGTGAGTTCTCATAGATTATCTTTTTCCTGATATTTCCAAAGTTCCGGATATTTTCATCAACTTAGTTTTTCTAGATATCCAAAACATTTTCTATACATACAAGTTTAGGTGTATGTTTTTGTAATATATTTCTTTTTATACTTTTTCACTCATGCAAAAAGTAAGAAAAGTTTGAAAAAGAGTTGGAAACAACTCAGTAAAAAGCAAAATTAAGAGGAAAATTTGGGTAAATATTCCAGATTTTTTCTGCATATTTCACCAAAATAATTTTCTGAATTTTTAGAATATGATCTGAATGACCTATGAGTTCTACAATGCAACAGAGCATGTCAAAAGTTGTCTTACTGGCAGTTTCAGGTGTAGATAGTTGCAGTTGTCTTTTAGATATTACAGGCAGTCTTTAAAATAAAGTTTATGTAAAACCTGGTCAGCAGTTCTTACAATCAATTTTACCCAACATCTATTAAAATTAAGAATGCATTTGTCAGAATTTTTATCTAATATTCGAAATGATTTTTTACTTATCAATGTTCTTTAAAAATCTACTTAAAGCATTAGAAATAATCCTGATTATCAAAGTATGGAAAGGTTTATAAAAAGATTGGTCTGTGTTAATGACTGTTTTAAAAGGTTATATTGGTTTAAAAGGTTATGTGTTGGTACAATTGCACAGTGGTCCAAATGGTGGACAAAATGAAAAAATCTATATTTCGGGACTAAGATTTTTTTAGGATTTTTTGAAACTACAATGAAATTCAAATTAAATGGAAAAGACTAGAGGTCATTATCATGCCTGGTTACGAAATGACAACCAAAGTTTTAAAAAACGTTCATACCTCAGAGTTAGATTTTTCACATACATTTTCTAATTTGAATTATATGCAGGAGATTTATAGACAAAAATGAAAAAAAATATTTCATTTCTCACAAAATTGAATGAACAAAATAAAAGTATTAATTTCATTTTCTTTTTTTAACGTTATTAATAAAAAAATCTCATTTCTTTTAAAAAAATTGAATGGAAAAGTCAGTTTCTGCAAAAAAAAAATCTCCTAAATTTTGTATACTTCTTCAAGTATCTCAAAAACCAGAGATTTGGTAATACTAAACCACATATTATTTGGAAACTTCATACTGTTGCCATAATGTATGCCACATATATTTACCAAACACCCGGTTTTTAAGTTATTTGTGGTTATAAAAACTATGTTTTATTGTTTCTTTAAGCATAATGCACTAGAGATTTTATCTGAATTTCTAAAAAGACTAAAAAAATACAAGCAAACGCTCAAGTTTATTTTTTTATTTTACATAGACAAAGTATTAACAATGTCATTTTCATGTACTTAGAATCATGTTTTTTTACTATGCCCTACCTGATTACACAATTTGCATTGTATTCGACCTTTGTTCCTTTGCTCGGTAACTAAAGGGTCAGAACCCACCCAGAGTCTTTTAAAACAATCTTCCAAATTCTGCAACTGATTTGTTTTTCTTGATAGTTTTTCTCTAAATATTCTAAGTTGTTTGCTGTTGGCCTCCATGCCTTCCTTGCTCCATGATTTAAGTCCTGTGTCATTATTTAACTCAATAAGCTCCCAAGTATGTCCTAATAACTTATGAATAGTCAGTGTCAAACTAACCCAGGGCATTTCTTGTCGAAGAAGAATGTTTGTCTCCTTACATATGTCTCTATATCTTTTTATGTTAATTTTCTGACTAGATGACATAGCACGAATAATATTAGACAACAAGAGAGCGTACCGCTCTGCTAACATTCTGGCATGTTTATTGAAATGTAGTCAGTAATCAGTTTTCTATTTTTCTCATTATAAAGAAGACTTCTAGCTACATTGCTAGTTGTAGTACTACTCCCTTGATCAATCTGCAAAATCCCACTTGATTCCTGTTTTTGCCAATTAACTCCTGTATATATTTTTTCTCTATTCCAAGAAAGTGTGTAGAACTGGCTGTCTTAGACTCTGTCCATGTGTGAACTGGTCAAAACCACAGAGTAATGCATGGAGTACTTGTATAGACCTTACGTTAGATCCAGCTATTGGACTTGCTGTTTGTCCATGGCGAACATCATAATCCTTTGACTTTTTAGTTAAAGAGCCGTCTTTTTGAACTAAATCCAAAAATATCTGCTCCATGGTTTCAATGTCTCTATTTATAACGAATCC